ATGACACCGCTCTACACTATTGGACTGCGGGTGGTACACGGAACTGTGGATTATTTTCATTCCACACTTTTCCAGGAATCCCGTAGTGAGAACGCTGGTGAATACTGAGCCCTGGTCGCACTGTATCTCCTGAGGAAAGCCCACTCTCGAAAAAATAGACAGTAGGGCGTTGACTACCTCTACGGAGCTTTGCTCCTTCATTGGGATCGCCTCAGGAAATTTGGTTGCTGGACAAATGGCGGTAAGCAAATACCGGTAGCCTGACTTTGTCACTGGGAGTGGTCCCACAACGTCTATTACCAGCCGGCGAAATGGCTCCGAAATGAGCGGAACAAGCTTAAGTGGTGCCTTTCCCTTCTCGTGCGGTTTTCCCACTCTCTGGCAGGTGTCACACGCTCTTACGTGCTTCTCAACTTCTTTGAAGCATCCTGGCCAATAAAACTCCGTTAGGAGCCTATTTTTGGTCTTCCGAGCTCCTAAATGCCCCGACCAACCAACTCCGTGACAGAGATCCACAATGTCAGACCGATACTTAGCCGGCACTACAATCTGGTCGAACGTGCGACCTTTTGCAGTCCGGTAGTGGCGGTACAAGATGCCATCTTTGACCGGAAAACTGACATTCTTCCTCGCCACCCCTTCCCTGACGATGTTCCAAATCTCCTTAAGGCTAGGATCGCTTTTTTGCTGCTCGATGAGCTCGTCTCTTGTCACTTTCCCCAGTACATTGCTTAGTGCTTTTGATACCGGCAACGCGAGCAGCCCCTCCTCCGATTCCCTTTCCGCTGTATCAGTGCTAGTCTGCTTCTCTGACCCCTCTCTTTCTTTTTCAGTAGGCGACGGGATAGCAGGCTCAACTGCGCTGACTATAGCTGGTGTTGCGGGACTTCCGGTAAAACTCGGTTCCTGCCGCTCTAGTTCGGCTGCTAACGCTCGTGCTTTAGCTCGTGTCAAGGCTTGTACTGTTCCCTCGTGAAAACTTTTCCCTTGTTCTCTCAGCAGACGGTCGGTCCGATTCGAGAACAAATAGGGGTACTGCGGGGGCAGCTTGTCTGACACCGCTGCTTCCGTCTCCACTTCTCCGAACGGTCCTGGCAGAATTACTCGAGCTACCGGAAGACAAATGCTTCCATCCTCCAAAACTGGTTTAATCCATGCACACTTGCCGTTGTAGTCTGCTTGTGCCACATAGTCCGGGTGCACCAGATCCATGGTTGCCCCACTGTCTCGTAAGACGCGGCACGGCTTTCCGTTCACTGTTAGGTTAAAAAGGTACGGACTAAGAAGCTCCTCGCTAGTGGCTGAGTCAGAAGTGTACGAAAAGGCTGGCCTGGGCCTACGACAACCAACGGCAATATGCCCTTCCTCCATACATTTGTACCAAGTAGGTGGTTTCCGAGCCTCAAAAGGACTCTTTTTGGAAGAATCCCCCGAAACCTTTCCCCCCTGTTTGTTTTGTGATCCTTGACCACTTGCAGCGAAGTCTGTCTTTTTCTGTGCAGTCGTACCTGCGCCAGCTCCCTGCTTCGCCGTCCAAGGTTTCCCTTTATCTCCCGCTTTTGTTGGAGGAACCTCGTCTCTTTCTCCCCGGCGTGACGCGTACTCGTCAGCAAAGTCGGCCGCTGCCTGTATTGTTTTTACGCCGGTTCTATCTTGGATCCAGAGCTTCATTGGTTCGGAAAGTTTTGAAAAAAACTGTTCGAGAGCCACTTCTTCAAGAGCCATTTCGAAGTTCCCAAAAGTGTTGGCTCCTTTCATCCATTCTATTAAGTTGACCTTCAACTCGTAGGCAAAGTCAGAATACGTGCTGCCCTGCTTCTTTGTCAGATTGCGAAACCGCTGGCGGAACGCGTCTGGCGAAAGTCGGAACCTCTTTAGAAGGCTATCCTTCACTTTGTCGTAGTTGTCCGCATCCTCCACCGGAAGCCGCGCGATTACATCCGCTGCTTCACATGGCAGCACCTTAACAAATGTCGAGCCCATGTGCTACGACCAAGCTTTGATTGTTCGCAGGTTCTCTCAAAGTTCACAAGAAAGAGGCCCACATCTTGCCCTGTTTTGAAGGGTTGCAGTTGTTTAGATAAATCACAAAGATTTTGTCTGCCTTCTACCTCCACTCCTTGGACCCCTGCCATCTTCCTCATTTCCACTTCGAGTCGCAACTGTTCTATATCCAGTTCTTTTTGCCTTAGCTGATGCTCCTGTTCCTCACGCTTTTCTTGGCGTTCCTGTTCCTGTCGTCTATCCTGACGCTCCTGTTCCTCACGCTTTTGAATCTCGCTCCATGTTTCTTTAATCTCTTCACTGCTCAGATTCAAGCTATCGATAGCGCTAACAATTGCGTCTTTCTTCATCCCCGCATTTACTTCTGCTCCCAGCTCCTCCCCCAGAATCAGGAGCTGATTCTTCAACAAACGCTTCCAATCCATGACAGAGAACTAGTGTGGTGCAGCTCACTCTCTACCCAGAAGTTCCGTAAACAACTGCTTCTGTGGTAGCCTCTACCAGCGAAAAGATTGCACTTCTATCTTATCAGCCTGGCAACCAAAAACCAAAGCCAGCACTCACCAGTCCACAGCTGCCAGTCTCCATGATCTCGGCGTGTTGTTCATTCTTCGTCCTCCAGGCTCACATCCAACCGCTTGCCATCCAGTTGTTGCGCGTCGCGGCGACCGCAGTCTGCGGGTAGCGGGGCCGATCGCCGTCGCTCCGTCGAGCCAAGGACTAGGGGAGAGCTTTGAGCAAACTTAACGGATTTATTTACATCTTTACAGGGAGTTGTCGAGATGACAGAAGAGAAGAGAAGAACGTTGGGCGAGGCACTCCACGCCCTTTTTTATAACCCCCCGTTCCCTAGGTCCCTAGGTTGGGGATCACTATATAAAACAATGCTGACCAATGGTGATGTGGCAGTTCCTCTCAATGAAGTACCGCCCATCATGTCTGTTCATAAAGGCACAACACAGGCTTGCACATACACACACACTCTTGCCACTAGTCGCAGCGCTGCCGTAGAACAGGGAGGGGGAGGGCGGAAGACGCACGGGCGCCTCGACCCCTTTGATGCCGGCCGCGGGCTGCGTTCCCACGAGGAGATCTTAGAGCGACCTTTTGAGAGGTGCCAGGTTCGTGGAATTCTCTGGGGAGAGCCCTTTGACCAGCGCCGTCGTCGTCTGCCGGTTAACGCGCTAACGATGCGTGACTGGCCCAGGCAGGAGATAGAGTGGCGGCTCCAAAACCCTCTTTGGCGACATTCCATCCCGTTGGCGCCGCTGTCAATCAGCAGGCGACGTCTCGTGGGGCCGGCCTCTGTTGCTTCCTCCGTCCAGACGTGGCGAGACTGTCCTTTTTGCACTAATCCGGCGTGGCAAATGACTCGCTGGGTCAAGGCATAGCCCGATCGCTACACTCTGCAAAGACGACCACAATCATGGAAATAAAAGTGGTGCCTGTGGCTGCTTCAGCGCACTCAACATATCTCTTGCAAGTTCCCACGTGGCGGAACACCGCACCGAAGTCGACGAAGGTCCTGCCGTGAAAGGCAGACCCGGGAATGCGCGCGAAACGTCTACAGCGTGCCTTGTATTGCCGGTGAATGAAGGGTCACGTGGCAGAAGATGACGGAACGAGAGTGTGCAAAATGCCGCTGCGATGTCGTTCAAGCTTTCAACCAGCTGGAAGACTCTGCCTGTCATGGTCGAAAACGTCCAGGTTTTGCTGATTCCGAGGAGTAGGAGTGCTATGATGGCGTGTACGATCGCTAGTGCTATGATGGCTGAAGCGTCGTGGGTTCCACAGCGCTTCAGGTACTTGCGTGGTGCGTCTGTACGTCCAGTGCGCAGTTTTCTTGGAACATCCAGCAACTGGCAGTCCCATTCAGGTGAGCATGCGAGGATGTTTGTTGTAATTAACGAGAGCCAACGACGGATGAGCTGGTATGAGATGATGTCCAGAAATGTTGTGATCAACAAACGCGCGATGCCCGCCGTGGTGATCTAGTGGCTATAAGGTACTCGGCTGCTGCCCCGCAGGTGGTGGGATCGAATCCCGACATCGGTGGCTGCATTTCCGATCGTTGAATTTTTCGGGTGCATTTCCTAAATGTTGCAGGCCCATGTGCTCAGTAATCTGAGCACACGTTCTTTAACGTGCACCCTAATGGGTGCACATTAAAGAACCTTAGGTGGTCGAAATTTCTGGAGCCCTCCACTACGGCGTCTGTCATAATCATATGGTGGTTTTGGGACGTTAAACCCCACAAATCATCATATCATCATCAACAAGGCGATGGCCGAAGGCGCCAGCGAGGTAGCGGCAGGACTGCGTGGCAACGACCAGGCCAGCGGACACAGGAAAAGCGAATCGGGGCTTTGCCGCTCCACTGTGCTGCAGGTGTTTGCGGGGTGGGTCGTGTGGCGTTCTTTGCGATTTTATTTTGTGATGAGAAATAGTGTAGATGCGGAGACGTGGCGAGAGCACGCGTCTTCGGGTGAACAGGTCACGTGAAGACGTGATATATATATGCCTTCTATTGTCACTGCAACTGTAAACAGAAACACCAATACCCATTTTCTAGAGGCTGTTTTACTTTTTGTTCCGAAATGGGCGAATTACAAAAGCGGAAAATGCTTCGCACATACACACGTCTAGCTTTTCTCTGAAACAGTAATAATAAATTACTGAATAGTTTTAATAATATGAGTAGGGATGTTTAAAAAACTTGGAGTACGTACGCGTGAACATAAAAAAAGTGAAGGGGCTCCCCAATGATTAAATTTCCACACAAACATTTCTTTTTCCAGAGTAATCGTAAATGCGAATGAACACATCTAGCGCACTCCCCACACGCGGGCTAGCCACCGCGAATACCGCTTCAGCCGTGGCGGCGTGACGCCCACGTTTCGGACACTCGCTGCACCCACGCTGTTTACCCAGATATCCTTGGTAAATCAAAACACTCTTTCTTTTATTGAGAATAATGTCGAACTCACCTCCGCAGGGGTGAGTGGGTCGATCCCGGAGGTAGTGCAATACCGAGCCAACCTGTTGTGGAGCTGAAGCAAGCTTCAAGAACTCCGCCACAATGCAAAAATAAGTTTAATATCTTGGATCCAAATAGGATCCGTATCAGACAATAAGCTTATAAGAACAGATAGGTTTTATTCATGTTTCATATGCCGTACGTGAAGAAGTCCAGACTAGAGACTTGGCTTTTGCCAAAGAGTTCTGGCTTCGTCAAACGGAGGCGTGGCACAAAACGGCCGAGAAAAGCTCGGTGCCTGATAATTTAAATTATCGCATGCCAGGACAGCACTTGTACTTAAAGGGGCGAGCACCAAGACTTCATGCAATAGCATGCACCTACGGACGCGAGTTACCTAATGGCTTTGCCATAACTGTTCTTGGTAAATCGCGTGAGACGCAGCGATGACCTCAATCACGCAAAGTGTCTTAAAGGGGCACAAGTAAGGGCACGAACAGATGCGGCAATGCACGCAATCGTTCGCCGAGTCCCAGGCACTGAGAGCACCCACGATGACGGCTTCGACGGTGACCCGCTGATACCGGCGACGGAGAAACACCAGACGTTTCTCTGTCGTCGCTTGGCGTTGCGGGCATTCTCAAAGGCGTCCGGCGTGTTCTCGAAGGAGCACGTGACGTCGATGACGATTGCCTCTTCACCACGCACCAGGACGAGATGTAGACGCAGGCCCGTGTCTCCGCTGGTTTGGTTCTCTAAGGCCAGCGTGAACTCGCGAGAGGCGGCGGTCTGGACGCGATCCACGATGGCGTTGTATCGGGCCTGGTAGAGTGCACTGCGAGGCATGCAGTGACACACCACATGCGGCAGTGTCTCTCTCAGGTACCCGCAGACGCGACACCACTGGTGCCTGTCCGGTGCGCCCCACATGCAAGCGCCGTTAAAGGGTAGGAGAATAAGGCGGGCCTTGTGCACGAACCACCAGTGCGCGAAGTAGGTGAAGGCGCCCGTACGCATGAAATGAGAACTGGCGCAATCAGTCGCCACGCAGGCCAGCACCTTCCCTTGGTTGGGGAGGTCATGCAGGGCGCGACCCCGTTCTCTGGCAAGGACCTCACGCGGCGTCCGCATGACGTGGTACCGGTGCTCCGGAGTAATCGTTGCGTCGCCGCAGGTGAGCCGGACGCCACCAGTATCCTGGGTCTAGGCGACGTTGTAGCGGCGGGACGCTTTACGGGCGCTTGTCCAGACGGACCACAGCTGGGTGGCCGGGACCGAGAACCCGTCTCCAAGCAATTCCCCAAGGTAGGGCTCCAACTCCGCACGGGTGACCTCCAAGCCGAGACGGGCAGTGGCGATCACGTAAGCGTCGTCCAAGGCCATCTGCCGCAGCTCGGTGTCGGTGGACGTCAGAAGCTTGAAGGCGGAGTCGATGCGGCAGAGGTAGCTGAGCTCCACCGCAACCGCGAACCCAACGGCACCACCAGGGGCGGAACCATAATTGTAGTAGTTGGCCGCGTTGGTAGGCAGGTAAAGCGTACGCTTTACCAGCGGCCGAATGGCGTCGTTCACTCGGTGCCAGTCCATCGTAAACAGAACTCCGCATAACGTCGCGAAGTTGAGCGTCGGGTAGACGAAGGTCCGGAGAGCGTCCAGACGCTGCCATGGCGCCAATCGACGACATGATCACCCGAGCTTGGGCGACGGCGGATTCGACGACGGAACCGGAGCCGAGGGGGGGGGGTACGAAAGCCGATGGGTCGTCCCAGGTACCACTGCGGCTCTAAGTCGCGCATTACCGAGATGGGGAACGCCCTAAACTCTGAAATCTGTCGGGCGCATCCCCGCAGGTGTTGATCCAACCATGCGGGAGGACGCGCACTTGAACGGGTTCAAGGAGAGGCCCAGGGACGCGGCGAGGATCTTGATTCTATCGATGTGCTGCTGGAGTCTTCACGGACTCGAGGCCAGGGGAGTCAGGCGGTTCACGTAGGCGAAGATTTTGTGGTGGTAACCACCACCCTGCACTGCGCAGAGGACCGGGTCGATCACCAAGTTGAAGAGAATTCCACTCAGTGGGCAAACATGACGTAGCCCGGCCAGGATCGAGATCGGATCGGTGATTCGCTGGGCCGCCAGGATACAGGTGCTGTTCCCTGTGTACAAGTCGCCGATCACCTCCGTAAACATGGAGCCGGCGCCAGCACCACGTAGGGCGTCGATCAAAGCCTGGTGCGGGACTTTGCGTGTTGTTAAAGTCCAACAGCGCTGCACACAGGTCGGGGCCTCCCGATCGGGCGATGTCGAGCCTGCGCTGTAGGGTATAGTTAAGCTCAAACACGCCATCGTGCTGAAGGAAGCCCTTCTGGATTTCGAGAAGATGGCGTGTTCGATCATCCAGGCCTGGAGCCGGGCTGCAAGGTGCTTGGCGTAAAGCTTCGATGCCGTGCAGCATAGGGCTATAGGCGGCCAGTTAGACGGGGCATGCGGATCTCCTCTCTTCAAGATGAGGACGGTCCGCGTCGTCCTCCAGGAGTCTGGAATTTGGAGGTGGTGAAGACAGGCGTTGAACAACGATGTCAGGAAGCGTGCCTCCGGGTCGACCGTTCACCAATGGTGGTAGGTTAAACGGTCTGTGCCGGGAGCCGTGTTCTCTCACTTGTGCAAGCGCCCAAACACCTCGTTAGTCGAGATGTTTGATGTGTCGACGCCCGCTGGAGCCGGATCACGTCCGAGAACTAGGGTAGGGTCGTGCGCCCCCAGTGATCTTGCAAGTCCTGTAATGGAATGGCACAGGTCTGTGGCATTCCCTCCAAGATCAGTCTGACTGCGCAGCGATGGTTGCAGCGGTACAGCCGCTAAATGTCGACCGCGTTCGAAGGGTCGGGCTGGCGGCGCTGACGACCAGGACGCACCGGTGGGATACGCGCTGCCGCGACGGCCTGCGTCCAGGCTTCCTCGCATTGAGCCCACGACTCGTCAAATGGTGGGTCCCACAACAAGGAGCGGAGCAGGCGTGCCTGGTCTTCGAGTACGCGCATGTGGTCCGATGGCATCTAGAGCGTCGCGTTGTCGGACTCGGTCGTCGGGTTGGTCGGGAAACGCCGCTGCCTCGTCCACGGACGCGGGTGGCGACAGGGAGGAGGCTGGATACACCGGGCACCCACGTAGAACAACTGAGGACGACCCGGCATCGAGCGGCAGCGTAGACACCGCGACGTCATCGGAGAGCGCGTTGTTGTCATTGTTTAGAAGAGACGTGGCGTCGCCAACAGGCAAAGCCGCCGACGAGCCGCGCGAGGCGGGAGCCTCGCCAAGCGATGACGACGAAGGCCCGAGGTCGTAAGGATCCAGGACTTGCCTGGCGGACGACGAGGGTCATTACCACGAAGCAGAACCCAGCGACCACGTAGTGACCCGGACACGGGCGAATCCACGAGAACGCCGGCAGGCGTCGGGACCATGATATGCGACGGCCAGTAGGATGTGACGACTCCAGCGTCACGCATGGGCTGCTCGGAAGAGACCAGGCTTGCGGCAGGAGATGGTGCTGGCGAACCGGGGACAGAGGCGGAGCCCCCGACGTCGACGAACCGCTGTTAGACTCGTAAACGAGGGCAGCTGGTTCGCCGATCGGCACGGGTGAAGACTTCCCCGACCTCGCAGCCTTAGACGACGAGGGCCGCTCCAAAGGTGTGGCATCAGAAGGCGCTAGGCCTCAAAGGCATCGCGAAGCCCGGGACGCTGCAGGAGGCGGGGAGTCCGAACAGGACGAAGAAGTGGTGGTTGAGCTGCCAGACAGGCGCGCGCGCACGAGCAGCGCCAGAAGGCCCGGCTTGGTCGACGTGGCATCGCAGGTGATCGGCCAGGCCACGCGTCGAAGTAAAAGTCGCGTCACAGACGCCAAAGAGATGACGAGGTGCCTTTGTCGAAGGCGCCAGTGTGGCCGTGGCCAGAAAGCAGTGGTTCGAAGGCCGGGACGTCAGCGGCGAGTCGCACACCGAGCACACGTGGATCCGATCGTTTACACGATTTTGGTGCTCGAATACAACGTGGCGGCGCACCGACTACAGGCGACACGTCGAGATGGCCCCGCTGTACTTCATGCTGCATTCGCCGACCGGACATTGCCGCTCCATCGGGGCCGGGAGGTACACCCACATAACGTCGCCGTCCAGGATCGGCTGGCATGATTGCACCGGGACGGTAGGGCATGAAGACGCCGGTGCTTCGGAACCAGCCGCTCCTGTAAGGACGATGCAGTGGACGCCGGCGAAGAAGGGCCCACCGCAGGGGAATCCGGAGTCCCGTGCCGAGGTCGCTGAAGAAGGGGTGGTGCCGGGGAGCTAGAAGGGGCAAGAGCGTGGCGCCGCCTGGGACGACGACCCCTCGTGGAACTCGGGCGGGCAGGATCCATGTCGGTGGGTCCGGCGGGCAGAAGGACCGGACAGCAGCAGGGTGGGGCAGGACCAGGTGAGCCGGGCGGCAGGCGACGACGGCGATGTAGTCACGACAGTGACCGGGGCCCGATGACGTCGTCGGCAGGCGGTGAAGACCGGGCCAAGCATGCGGCAGGCAAAAAGCCAAGCAAGAAAATGAGCTGAAGACTCTCACCAACCGCCGTCCAGCATCCGGAGGTCTCCACAGCCAGCCAGAACGTCTCCTCACGTCCAGGAACGAGTCCCCACTGGTCAGCAGCCGCACGGGCGCCTCCTGAAGGGCAGGCGCAGCCAGGAACGTCACCTTCCCGGGGTGGCCGGGACCCCGGGAGGGAACGCTTCTCGATCGTGGGCCAGCGGATCAAAGTGTCCCAGCAATTAGGCTGATAAGAACAGTGTATGTTTTTTTATGTTCAATATAATGCATATAATGTCATGAGTCTGCCAGATGGCAAGGTGGTTGGTCTGTACACAGCACTAGAATGGCCTGATGGAGTCCGGCAGTGGGTGGTAGCACTAAAGACAGCAGGACTTGGATGGTGTGGACGCCGCTGGAACCCCGAAAAAGCAGCGGTCAGACCAGGGCACATGGCAGGCGCCAGGCGACGTAGCGAATTAGTAGGGCAGGTCTTGCCTGCGTCAGCGGTTGTCTTACTGCGTCCATGTCCCACGTGCGCATGGGTAGATGGCGCGGAACGCTGCCACCACCTCGCTTACGCAGAGTCTCTTCATGAGACGCAGGTAGCTTCGGGGGCACAGGCGCAGAGGACGCG